TTGTGCGTAACCTGATTGCAGATGAGCTATTAGAGCTAAAGCGAAAAAAGCTGGAGCAATTCGAAGAGAATACAGATAGTATGTCCGTTCTGCCATTTCGTCCGATAAGTGTTAGCGAGACTATGCTAGAGATAGATATGCTAGAGTTAAATAAGTCTCCTGGCATGGACAATATTGACAATAGGGTTATTAAATCGTTGCCTGAGAAGGCGGTTATATACTTAGTACTTATATTCAATTGTATATTGAGGTATGGGTTTTTTCCTAGGCAATGGAAATGTGCAGAGATCAGTATGATATTAAAGCCTGGTAAAAGTACAGGAGAGATATCGTCATATAGACCAATTAGTCTACTAGCAGGTTTCTCAAAATTGTTTGAGAAACTGCTGCTGAATAGGCTATTCGAATGCAAAGAGTTTGCAAATGCTATACCAAGCCACCAATTTGGGTTCAGAAAAGACCATGGTACCGAGCAGCAGCTGGCCCGTGTGACTCAATATATATTGAATGCTTACGAGAAGCGACAATATTGCTCGGCTGTATTTATTGATATCAGCGAAGCGTTTGACCGTGTATGGCACGCTGGGCTATTAGTAAAATTAATAAAATTGCTACCACTTGCACTGTACAACGTGCTGGAAAGCTACTTGGCTGAGCGAATATTTATTGTAAAATGCAACGACGGCATAAAGTCAAGGCCTGGAAAAGTGTGTGCAGGCGTACCCCAGGGCAGTGTGCTCGGGCCTATACTATATACAATATTTTCTTCAGACATGCCACTACCTAGACTTGTAATGAAAGAATATGCATCGTTCGAACCCAATAAGATGCAGCTGTCAACATATGCTGATGACACAATAGTTATGTGTGCATCCCAAAATATATTGGAGGCAGTGAATCTAAATGAAAAATACTTAATACATTTGATGCGTTGGGCAGAGAAATGGTGCATAAAGATAAATAGTAGCAAAACAGCGCATGTAATGTTTAGCACGCGGAGGCTGGATGCAACACTAGTAAGGCTGTGTCCAATGATAAATGGACAAACGATCGAAAATAACGGGCGGCACCGATACTTGGGCTTAGTATTGGATAGAAAACTGACACTGAATATACACATAACTCAGCTTTGCATAAGGCTGCGTGGAGTACACAAAAAGCTGGACTGGTTGCTGGGAAAAAAATAGTAGGCTAGCTAGAAATTGCAAGGCTGTGGTATATAAGCAGCTGATCGCACCTATATGGCAATATGCGCTTCCTGTATGGGGAGCACTGGTATCAAATTCGCAAATAAAAAGGATAGAAACAATGCAGAATAAAATCTTGCGGGCATGCATGAATGCCAGTTGGTATACAAGGAATCAGACGTTGAGGGATACGTATGGGATAAAAAGCGTAGATGAAGTATATCAGTTGGCTAGCGATAGATTTGCGAAGTCACTAAGCTGTCATCCGAACATTGAAGCTCGGAAACTGATACTAGAGCCATTTATACCAGTGCGGCTACTAAGGCCCAGGTACACGGAGCAATTGGATAGATGCATGGCGCCACTACGGCAGCAGCAGTTAACACAGCAGAGAGAGGTAGCTGAGGAGAGGTTGCCAACGCTGCTGCAGCTAGAAGAAGATGAGCAAGAGGCTGAAAGGAGGGCCGCTATGCTTGCCGAGTGGGAACAGAGGCGAGCTATGGGGCCACCAAAACGCTTTGATGAATGCACAATAAACATGCTTCGTCGCAAACTTAAAGCGGGCACAATAACTCGCGAAAACTTAATGCTGCTAATCGACAACCAGCCACCACAGATACAATGGCTAATTCTACCTGAGCTGCAACACGAACACCTGCAGCGGCAGCATCAGGAACTAATACGGACGGCAGAGCCGGCCCCAGGGGCCATAATACAATCGGCTATAGATACCGATGAATTGCAACTAGAGCGCAGCCTTGATATGTTGGAGCAGGCACTGGGACAGGAGATGGATGAAGCGCTCATTATTGCAGGAAATAATATTCAAATTGAAATGCAGCAGCGGCTCGCAGACAATGAGTCAGTGCAGCTGAATACAAATGAGCTGCAAATGCAGCATGGCCAACGGCTATGCGGCAGCAGCACTAACAATACAAATGCTACTAATACTAACAATGTAAACAATGATAATGATAGTGATTTTGATAATGATGAATTTGAATTGTTCTTGTCAACTTACCTGCAGAAGAAGGCTGAATTGAATCCCTCGTTGGTACACTCAGTACAGCCTGGCCCGCTCTCCATGCGGCGGCAAAATAACTTATATCCCTCGCTGGTCTATATAGTACAGCCTGGCCCGCTCTCCCTGCGGCGGCAAAACGATCTACATCCCTCGTTGCAGCCTGAGACTGAGCCCGGCCCGCTTTCTCCGCGGTGGCATAACTATGTCCATCCAACGATGCAGCAGCAACTGCAGCCTGATTCGCTTCCTGAGCGGCGGCAAAACAATACAAATTCCGAGCAGTTGCCACTGGATATGCCTGGGCTCATTGTGGAGCGCCTGGTTGACAGATGTCCAACGACGCAGCAGCTGATGGAGCCTGGCCCCCCCTGAGAAGCTGGAAATGCAGCTGGTGCCTGTGCGGGGGCAGCCTGGGCCATCACGGCCGCCTTCGATGACCGAGCATGATTTGCAGCAACGACAATCGACGCCTGTAAAGCGAAAGGTTGAGAATTTAATGCTGCCTGCAAAACGTAGATGCACTTACCAAATGGCGTCAATTCGGAGGCGACTGCAAGGGCCGCTCCAAGATGAGCTGCTGCCTGACAAGCGGCAGTGGCAGCAGCAGCGTATCGGCCAGGAGGCACTGGCTGTGGCTGGGCCATATCCGATGTTTTTCACAGCAGCCATACCTGAAAAACGAAAAAGGCAATTTAGACGGACTCCGCAATGTAGGAAAAAAGCACGTACCTGCCTCCCAGCACACGCGGAACTCGTGCGGGCGCCCCTGCAGACGGAGCTGCAATGGTCAATGGCCATGCTCCGGCCTCGAAGAAGTCCAAACTGGCCGGCTGAGCGTGGCCCATATGGAATCCAAAATGCACACCATGTGCACGACACTTTTATATGCAGCGACTCCTGTCTGCATAGTGGTGTCCATAAGAAGCGGCAGCACAATCCAATAAGCCAGCGGAGGCGTCGTCGGATGCGGTCAAATGCCCATGCGAGGCTTATTGCGCATCAGCAAATGAATGCGTCGGCGCCTGTGTGGCGGCCTGTACATGGCTGGCGGCGCCTGGCGCATAGAAAAGCGCGACCTCTGAGCGCAATTATCAAATCTGATAGCAATTTCGACATAAATCTGTAAAAAGAAATATTTATAATTAGTTATATGTTAAGAAATTAATTTTTGCAAAAATGCGACTTACCTCTGTTAAAAAGTTTTCGATTTCCACGTTGCGACGGAAAAAAAAAATGTATATGCAGAGCACATGTAGTCAAATCTAACTGTATATTGCGTAGCGTTGCCACCTATGCAGTGTTGCCACACTGACAGTTTTAAGTTGTTAAAGCAATTTAGTATTATTAGGGAATTAGTACTTTTAGTCTTTTAGTATTTTAGTATAAGTATTTATTGTATTTAGTACGTAAGTTCAATACAGACACATTCTATGTGTCTAACAACATGTTTATAGAGTTAGGATACAATGTTGCCAAATAATGTTCTTATATGTTGCTAAAGTGAAAGTAATGGAAAAGAATAAAACAAGTCACGGAGGAATTTCATTCCACTGCTGACATATATTGTGCTCGGATGCACTCAACTAAAAAAACTTAAAAACTTAAAAACTTAAAAAAATCAACTTAAAAAACTTAAAAAACCTAAATAAAAAAAACCGAAAGGCTTGATTGCGCTCGGACGCACTCATCTATTTAAAACAAAAAAAAAAAAATAAATAAAATAAAATAAAATAAATAAATAAAAAGTCAATTAAACCAAAACCAAACCAAAAAGAAATTAAAATCAAATAAAGACATTGCGCTCGTACAGTGCAAGTGCAATTTATGTGGCACACAAACACACATACTCGGCATATAAAATATATATTGTGCGCATATAAAATGGAAATGCGCTATCGAATCAACTAGTAAATATGGAACACAATGCAAATAAAAGTGGAAAGCCCTCTGAGGAGTGGCTAAATAGAGATCCTGGGATTGTGCAGGTGCAATCTGAGGATATAAATCGTGTGCATAATGAGGCCAAACGTCTTGGTTATGTGCCGGCAAATATGGCAGCCGCTGGCGTCACTAATACAAGTGCAGGTGAAAATGTGAAGCGCACAACAGAGAGAAGTGAAATACAGGGTGATATTTCTGATGAGACTATCTTAACTTGCGAAAGTGCTACCTCAGCATTCTCTGAGACGGCGCTTTCTCATATGTTCTGTGATAGCGATGAGGACACTAACTGGACAAATGCTATAGTTGGAATTGAGAGAAGAGCGGTGGGAGCAGCAACAACAACTACAGGATCTACTTGCCAGCAAGTGCAACAACAGCAACAGACGCCAATTCTCGCGGCAGAAGTGCCGCTAAATGATCCGCCATTTCTGCCTGAGTCAACAGGGGCAGCAACTACAACAAGTACAAGAACAACCACTAGCGCAAATGTCATAGCTAACCTAGAAGGCAATGTTCCGCCATCTTTGCAAATGTCAACGCCTACGCTGACAATAGCAACCAATACCAACACAGGTGACGCGCAAAAATTGGCGCCAACGCTAAGTGAATGTGCAACAGGAACAACAAGTGGTCGCTTGCGTGATGCTGCTAAGGTGACAATGGCGGCAAAAATAAATGGCGCTAAGTGTAGAGTGACTATGCCAATGAAGCAGCAGCGTAAAGTAATGCGCGCTGCTAGCTCTCTTGGCCCTAATAATTTGCAAAATGCAATGCAATCTAACTTGCAGCCTATTGTTAGATTATACAATATTGCAAGACCAAAAAATAATTTAGCCAAAAATGCCATGCCCGGTGGGGAGGAAGGCAACATGAACATGGACATTGATGCCAACACCAGTAGTGATGGATATTCGGAGGTAATTATTTCGGATGATGAAGCAACAGAGCAGCAAATAGGCGGCAAGCAGGTAGCTAGTGAAGTTCAGGAAGCGCAACCGCAGTTAGGTCAAAGTATTAAAATTCCAACACTTTTTGTGCCCAATGTAAAAGAAATTCAGCCACTAATGGAGAAATTAAATAACGCACAGGGCGTCAATAAATTTACAACAAAATGTACCCAGGGTGATGGGATTAGAGTACAATGTAAAGATTTCAGCACATATAACGCCATATTGGGCTTATTAAATACAGAAAATATACCTATGCACACACACCAGCCGAGAAGTGAGCGTGGCTACAGGGTTATATTAAAACATTTGCACAGTTCGACTCCATGCGACTGGTTGCGTACCCAATTGGGAGAATTGGGTTATGTTGTCAGATACGTTAACGTCATGAAGCATCGATTTAGTGGCAAGCCATTGAACATATTTGAAATAGAGATTGAGCCAAGAGTGGATGGTGGTCATACAAAAATATGTAAATTAAACGAATTAGGTAATCAGCATGTCGCTGTGGAAAGACAACATAAAAGTGCTGACCCAGTACAGTGTCATAGGTGTCAGGCATTTGGTCACAGCAAAAACTATTGCCGTCGGCCATTTGTCTGCCTTAAATGTGCCGGTGAGCACCCAACAACAATGTGTGCCAAGGATAGGGACACAATTGCTAAATGCGCCAACTGTGGAGAGGGGCACATTGCCAGTTACAAAGGATGCGCTGTATTCAAACATGCGCAAAGTTTAATAAACATAAATCGTATTCGTGGCCGGCAACAAAAAAAGCAGCAACAGCAGCAGCAACGAAATACAGTCAATATGCTCGTACAGCAACAGCAGCAACAGCAACAACAACAACGGCAACAAGTAGTAAATCAGCAACAACAGCAATGCAACGATGATAACATACAGCGACAACGAAACGTACAACAGCAACGGCTGCCGAACAATATGCAAGTCAACGGTACGGTGCAACAAAAGCCTCCAAAGCAGCAGCAACGTCAGCCGGAGTCTCCAATACGGCAGCAGGCGTCTCAGCAGATATCAAACCCGAATACAAATCCAAACACAAAAAGTAGGACATACAGCCAAGTAGCCCGTGGTGTTGGTGGTGTTAAAATCCGTAATCCTGCATCAAGGCATCTTGAAAAGCTACAGGAGCAGCTTCGTACGGAGCAGCAGCAAAAAACGGCAGCAACAACAACATCCGTGGCAGCAACAGGAACACTATCGCCAAATCCAGCAGCGCCATCAAGAGCAGCGCCATCCTCAGCAGCAGCAGCGCAACCAAAACCAGCAGCAGCGTATCCAAAACCAACAGCAGCGCTTCCCAAGTCAACAAACCCAACAACAACAACAACAGCCCACGCGAATTGTACAGGTGCCAACACACAACGAGCAATCACAACAACAGCAGCAACACCAAACTCCGCAGATTGATTGTCCGCTTATGAGAGCGTTGGAGCGGAACGCCAATATCGTCGAGGAGATGGGTAAAAAGATTGATAATTTACTAAATGTATTATTTAAATTTGTCGCCAATACGTTTAAAAATGCCCAACCATTACATATGCCCATGCCTATACAGAATAGTACCATTGTAGAAAATAGACCTATTGATAGCGATTGTCAAATGGCAGGCAGCCACACTATGTATGAAGCCAATGACACGAATAATAATGAATAATCTGAATAGTAGCCCTAATAATTTGAATACAACTTCTACCACTAATAGCAACTTAGATGCATATAGCGGCAATCAGGTAGGCAGCCCCTTTAGGATTGCCTACTGGAATGCTGCAGGGGTGGGGAATAAGTTACTAGAATTAGAACTGTTTATCCAACGCCACAAAATTGATATAATGATGATAATAGAGACTCGTATTAATACTAGCGCAAATACAATTATTAGCTCGAATGTTTTGAAGATTAATGGGTACCTCACATACTTTGCTACCCATCCAGATAACTACAAAAGTGGAGGTGTAGCAATCTTAGTTAAAAATGATATTAAGCATATCGCTTTGCAGCCAATATCGGAAAATTTTATGCAGTGTGCTCCAATTGCCTTGATGAGTAGCGAGAGGAATAAAAATAGAATAATAATTGCAGCTATATACTGCCCACCACAGCCTAAATGGTCTTCAGAGCAATTTAGCAGGCTATTCAAACACATAGACGATGGATGCAATGGCTCATCTGGCTTTATGCTATGTGGGGATTGGAACGCTAAGCATACCTGGTGGGGCAATATACGAGGATGCAAACGCGGGAAGGCGCTAATGGATAGCGTACACAAGAATAGGCGCTATAATATCCTAGCTACCGGCGGTGCCACTCACTATCCATATGACAGGCGGAAAATGCCGTCGGCAATTGACTTTGCCGTATATGGCGGACTACAAAATGCGCGACTAAGAACGTATACGACGACAGACTTAGATTCGGACCACTTGCCTGTTCATATTGAAATGGGCATAGAAGGGCTAAATGTTGCTAATATGATGAAAGGAAATCGTAAAATATTGCTGCCAGTGAATGCGAACATAAAAAAGTTCCAAGAGTACTTAAATCGACGCATATTGCTAAACATTGAGATAAGATCAGGCGCCGATATAGAGGACGCTGTTGACATCCTAAATAAGAATATATATGAGGCAGCAGCAGACTCAATACGAGAACAACGGCATGGGCAGGATAAACTGTACCGACGAACGAATAGCGGACAATATAGGCTTAATGGGCACTTACGAGGACTGATAAAGATGAAGCAGGTATATAAAAGGCAATTAATGCTTTTGCGTTGTCCGAATGAAAGAAAAATGTATAGACAAGTACAAAACCGGCTAAAGAAAGAGCTATGTCTGTCAAAAGTGAATACTATGAATGAGTTATTGAAGCAGATTGATGTTCAGGATCGCTATAAAATGCAAAAATTATGGAGGCTAACAAATAATTTGAAAAGGCAGCCGCAACCAAATTGGCCGCTAAAGTTAGAGATAGCTAGTGGCAGTAGTTGTAGGAGAAACGGCAATATAACGTGGACACGAAGTAATGAGGAGAAGGCTGAAGCGTTTGCATGTCATTTGGAGAAAACGCTTCACACCAAATCTGACAAATACACAGGTTGTGCGTAACCTGATTGCAGATGAGCTATTAGAGCTAAAGCGAAAAAAGCTGGAGCAATTCGAAGAGAATACAGATAGTATGTCCGTTCTGCCATTTCGTCCGATAAGTGTTAGCGAGACTATGCTAGAGATAGATATGCTAGAGTTAAATAAGTCTCCTGGCATGGACAATATTGACAATAGGGTTATTAAATCGTTGCCTGAGAAGGCGGTTATATACTTAGTACTTATATTCAATTGTATATTGAGGTATGGGTTTTTTCCTAGGCAATGGAAATGTGCAGAGATCAGTATGATATTAAAGCCTGGTAAAAGTACAGGAGAGATATCGTCATATAGACCAATTAGTCTACTAGCAGGTTTCTCAAAATTGTTTGAGAAACTGCTGCTGAATAGGCTATTCGAATGCAAAGAGTTTGCAAATGCTATACCAAGCCACCAATTTGGGTTCAGAAAAGACCATGGTACCGAGCAGCAGCTGGCCCGTGTGACTCAATATATATTGAATGCTTACGAGAAGCGACAATATTGCTCGGCTGTATTTATTGATATCAGCGAAGCGTTTGACCGTGTATGGCACGCTGGGCTATTAGTAAAATTAATAAAATTGCTACCACTTGCACTGTACAACGTGCTGGAAAGCTACTTGGCTGAGCGAATATTTATTGTAAAATGCAACGACGGCATAAAGTCAAGGCCTGGAAAAGTGTGTGCAGGCGTACCCCAGGGCAGTGTGCTCGGGCCTATACTATATACAATATTTTCTTCAGACATGCCACTACCTAGACTTGTAATGAAAGAATATGCATCGTTCGAACCCAATAAGATGCAGCTATCAACATATGCTGATGACACAATAGTTATGTGTGCATCCCAAAATATATTGGAGGCAGTGAATCTAAATGAAAAAATACTTAATACATTTGATGCGTTGGGCAGAGAAATGGTGCATAAAGATAAATAGTAGCAAAACAGCGCATGTAATGTTTAGCACGCGGAGGCTGGATGCAACACTAGTAAGGCTGTGTCCAATGATAAATGGACAAACGATCGAAAATAACGGGCGGCACCGATACTTGGGCTTAGTATTGGATAGAAAACTGACACTGAATATACACATAACTCAGCTTTGCATAAGGCTGCGTGGAGTACACAAAAAGCTGGACTGGTTGCTGGGAAAAAATAGTAGGCTAGCTAGAAATTGCAAGGCTGTGGTATATAAGCAGCTGATCGCACCTATATGGCAATATGCGCTTCCTGTATGGGGAGCACTGGTATCAAATTCGCAAATAAAAAGGATAGAAAACAATGCAGAATAAAATCTTGCGGGCATGCATGAATGCCAGTTGGTATACAAGGAATCAGACGTTGAGGGATACGTATGGGATAAAAAGCGTAGATGAAGTATATCAGTTGGCTAGCGATAGATTTGCGAAGTCACTAAGCTGTCATCCGAACATTGAAGCTCGGAAACTGATACTAGAGCCATTTATACCAGTGCGGCTACTAAGGCCCAGGTACACGGAGCAATTGGATAGATGCATGGCGCCACTACGGCAGCAGCAGTTAACACCGCAGAGAGAGGTAGCTGAGGAGAGGTTGCCAACGCTGCTGCAGCTAGAAGAAGATGAGCAAGAGGCTGAAAGGAGGGCCGCTATGCTTGCCGAGTGGGAACAGAGGCGAGCTATGGGGCCACCAAAACGCTTTGATGAATGCACAATAAACATGCTTCGTCGCAAACTTAAAGCGGGCACAATAACTCGCGAAAACTTAATGCTGCTAATCGACAACCAGCCACCACAGATACAATGGCTAATTCTACCTGAGCTGCAGCACGAAACACCTGCAGCGGCAGCATCAGGAACTAATACGGACGGCAGAGCCGGCCCCAGGGGCCATAATACAATCGGCTATAGATACCGATGAATTGCAACTAGAGCGCAGCCTTGATATGTTGGAGCAGGCACTGGGACAGGAGATGGATGAAGCGCTTATTATTGCAGGAAATAATATTCAAATTGAAATGCAGCAGCGGCTCGCAGACAATGAGTCAGTGCAGCTGAATACAAATGAGCTGCAAATGCAGCATGGCCAACGGCTATGCGGCAGCAGCACTAACAACACAAATGCTACTAATACTAACAATGTAAACAATGATAATGATAGTGATTTTGATAATGATGAATTTGAATTGTTCTTGTCAACTTACCTGCAGAAGAAGGCTGAATTGAATCCCTCGTTGGTACACTCAGTACAGCCTGGCCCGCTCTCCATGCGGCGGCAAAATAACTTATATCCCTCGCTGGTCTATATAGTACAGCCTGGCCCGCTCTCCCTGCGGCGGCAAAACGATCTACATCCCTCGTTGCAGCCTGAGACTGAGCCCGGCCCGCTTTCTCCGCGGTGGCATAACTATGTCCATCCAACGATGCAGCAGCAACTGCAGCCTGATTCGCTTCCTGAGCGGCGGCAAAACAATACAAATTCCGAGCAGTTGCCACTGGATTTGCCTGGGCTCATTGTGGAGCGCCTGGTTGACAGATGTCCAACGACGCAGCAGCTGATGGAGCCTGGCCCCCCTGAGAAGCTGGAAATGCAGCTGGTGCCTGTGCGGGGGCAGCCTGGGCCATCACGGCCGCCATCGATGACCGAGCATGATTTGCAGCAACGACAATCGACGCCTGTAAAGCGAAAGGTTGAGAATTTAATGCTGCCTGCAAAACGTAGATGCACTTACCAAATGGCGTCAATTCGGAGGCGACTGCAAGGGCCGCTCCAAGATGAGCTGCTGCCTGACAAGCGGCAGTGGCAGCAGCAGCGTATCGGCCAGGAGGCACTGGCTGTGGCTGGGCCATATCCGATGTTTTTCACAGCAGCCATACCTGAAAAACGAAAAGGCAATTTAGACGGACTCCGCAATGTAGGAAAAAAGCACGTACCTGCCTCCCAGCACACGCGGAACTCGTGCGGGCGCCCCTGCAGACGGAGCTGCAATGGTCAATGGCCATGCTCCGGCCTCGAAGAAGTCCAAACTGGCCGACTGAGCGTGGCCCATATGGAATCCAAAATGCACACCATGTGCACGACACTTTTATATGCAGCGACTCCTGTCTGCATAGTGGTGTCCATAAGAAGCGGCAAGCACAATCCAATAAGCCAGCGGAGGCGTCGTCGGATGCGGCCAAATGCCCCTGCGAGGCTTATTGCGCATCAGCAAATGAATGCGTCGGCGCCTGTGTGGCGGCCTGTACATGGCTGGCGGCGCCTGGCGCATAGAAAAGCGCGACCTCTGAGCGCAATTATCAAATCTGATAGCAATTTCGACATAAATCTGTAAAAAGAAATATTTATAATTAGTTATATGTTAAGAAATTAATTTTTGCAAAAATGAGACTTACCTCTGTTAAAAAGTTTTCGATTTGCACGTTGCTACGGGAAAAAAAAAAAAAAAATGTATATGCAGAGCACATGTAGTCAAATCTAACTGTATATTGCGTAGCGTTGCCACCTATGCAGTGTTGCCACACTGACAGTTTTAAGTTGTTAAAGCAATTTAGTATTATTAGGGAATTAGTACTTTTAGTCTTTTAGTATTTTAGTATAAGTATTTATTGTATTTAGTACGTAAGTTCAATACAGGACACATTCTATGTGTCTAACAACATGTTTATAGAGTTAGGATACAATGTTGCCAAATAATGTTCTTATATGTTGCTAAAGTGAAAGTAATGGAAAAGAATAAAACAAGTCACGGAGGAATTTCATTCCACTGCTGACATATATTGTGCTCGGATGCACTCAACTTAAAACAATAAACATGCTTCGTCGCAAACTTAAAGCGGGCACAATAACTCGCGAAAACTTAATGCTGCTAATCGACAACCAGCCACCACAGATACAATGGCTAATTCTACCTGAGCTGCAGCACGAACACCTGCAGCGGCAGCATCAGGAACTAATACGGACGGCAGAGCCGGCCCCAGGGGCCATAATACAATCGGCTATAGATACCGATGAATTGCAACTAGAGCGCAGCCTTGATATGTTGGAGCAGGCACTGGGACAGGAGATGGATGAAGCGCTCATTATTGCAGGAAATAATATTCAAATTGAAATGCAGCAGCGGCTCGCAGACAATGAGTCAGTGCAGCTGAATACAAATGAGCTGCAAATGCAGCATGGCCAACGGCTATGCGGCAGCAGCACTAACAACACAAATGCTACTAATACTAACAATGTAAACAATGATAATGATAGTGATTTTGATAATGATGAATTTGAATTGTTCTTGTCAACTTACCTGCAGAAGAAGGCTGAATTGAATCCCTCGTTGGTACACTCAGTACAGCCTGGCCCGCTCTCCATGCGGCGGCAAAATAACTTATATCCCTCGCTGGTCTATATAGTACAGCCTGGCCCGCTCTCCCTGCGGCGGCAAAACGATCTACATCCCTCGTTGCAGCCTGAGACTGAGCCCGGCCCGCTTTCTCCGCGGTGGCATAACTATGTCCATCCAACGATGCAGCAGCAACTGCAGCCTGATTCGCTTCCTGAGCGGCGGCAAAACAATACAAATTCCGAGCAGTTGCCACTGGATTTGCCTGGGCTCATTGTGGAGCGCCTGGTTGACAGATGTCCAACGACGCAGCAGCTGATGGAGCCTGGCCCCCCTGAGAAGCTGGAAATGCAGCTGGTGCCTGTGCGGGGGCAGCCTGGGTCATCACGGCCGCCATCGATGACCGAGCATTGATTTGCAGCAACGACAATCGAACGCCTGTAAAGCGAAAGGTTGAGAATTTAATGCTGCCTGCAAAACGTAGATGCACTTACCAATGGCGTCAATTCGGAGGCGACTGCAAGGGCCGCTCCAAGATGAGCTGCTGCCTGACAAGCGGCAGTGGCAGCAGCAGCGTATCGGCCAGGAGGCACTGGCTGTGGCTGGGCCATATCCGATGTTTTTCACAGCAGCCATACCTGAAAAACGAAAAAGGCAATTTAGACGGACTCCGCAATGTAGGAAAAAAGCACGTACCTGCCTCCCAGCACACGCGGAACTCGTGCGGGCGCCCCTGCAGACGGAGCTGCAATGGTCAATGGCCATGCTCCGGCCTCGAAGAAGTCCAAACTGGCCGACTGAGCGTGGCCCATATGGAATCCAAAATGCACACCATGTGCACGACACTTTTATATGCAGCGACTCCTGTCTGCATAGTGGTGTCCATAAGAAGCGGCAGCACAATCCAATAAGCCAGCGGAGGCGTCGTCGGATGCGGTCAAATGCCCATGCGAGGCTTATTGCGCATCAGCAAATGAATGCGTCGGCGCCTGTGTGGCGGCCTGTACATGGCTGGCGGCGCCTGGCGCATAGAAAAGCGCGACCTCTGAGCGCAATTATCAAATCTGATAGCAATTTCGACATAAATCTGTAAAAAGAAATATTTATAATTAGTTATATGTTAAGAAATTAATTTTTGCAAAAATGCGACTTACCTCTGTTAAAAAGTTTTCGATTTCCACGTTGCGACTGGAAAAAAAAAAAAAATGTATATGCAGAGCACATGTAGTCAAATCTAACTGTATATTGCGTAGCGTTGCCACCTATGCAGTGTTGCCACACTGACAGTTTAAGTTGTTAAAGCAATTTAGTATTATTAGGGAATTAGTACTTTTAGTCTTTTAGTATTTTAGTATAAGTATTTATTGTATTTAGTACGTAAGTTCAATACAGACACATTCTATGTGTCTAACAACATGTTTATAGAGTTAGGATACAATGTTGCCAAATAATGTTCTTATATGTTGCTAAAGTGAAAGTAATGGAAAAGAATAAAACAAGTCACGGAGGAATTTCATTCCACTGCTGACATATATTGTGCTCGGATGCACTCAACTAAAAAGCGGGCACAATAACTCGCGAAAACTTAATGCTGCTAATCGACAACCATCCACCACAGATACAATGGCTAATTCTACCTGAGCTGCAGCACGAACACCTGCAGCGGCAGCATCAGGAACTAATACGGACGGCAGAGCCGTCCCCAGGGGCCATAATACAATCGGCTATAGATACCGATGAATTGCAACTAGAGCGCAGCCTTGATATGTTGGAGCAGGCACTGGGACAGGAGATGGATGAAGCGCTCATTATTGCAGGAAATAATATTCAAATTGAAATGCAGCAGCGGCTTCGCAGACAATGAGTCAGTGCAGCTGAATACAAATGAGCTGCAAATGCAGCATGGCCAACGGCTATGCGGCAGCAGCACTAACAATACAAATGCTACTAATACTAACAATGTAAACAATGATAATGATAGTGATTTTGATAATGATGAATTTGAATTGTCTTGTCAACTTACCTGCAGAAGAAGGCTGAATTGAATCCCTCGTTGGTACACTCAGTACAGCCTGGCCCGCTCTCCATGCGGCGGCAAAATAACTTATATCCCTCGCTGGTCTATATAGTACAGCCTGGCCCGCTCTCCCTGCGGCGGCAAAACGATCTACATCCCTCGTTGCAGCCTGAGACTGAGCCCGGCCCGCTTTCTCCGCGGTGGCATAACTATGTCCATCCAACGATGCAGCAGCAACTGCAGCCTGATTCGCTTCCTGAGCGGCGGCAAAACAATACAAATTCCGTGCAGTTGCCACTGGATTTGCCTGGGCTCATTGTGGAGCGCCTGGTTTGACAGATGTCCAACGACGCAGCAGCTGATGGAGCCTGGCCCCCCTGAGAAGCTGGAAATGCAGCTGGTGCCTGTGCGGGGGCAGCCTGGGCATCACGGCCGCCATCGATGACCGAGCATGATTTGCAGCAACGACAATCGACGCCTGTAAAGCGAAAGGTTGAGAATTTAATGCTGCCTGCAAAACGTAGATGCACTTACCAAATGGCGTCAATTCGGAGGCGACTGCAAGGGCCGCTCCAAGATGAGCTGCTGCCTGACAAGCGGCAGTGGCAGCAGCAGCGTATCGGCCAGGAGGCACTGGCTGTGGTGGGCCATATCCGATGTTTTTCACAGCAGCCATACCTGAAAAACGAAAAAGGCAATTTAGACGACTCCGCAATGTAGGAAAAAAGCACGTACCTGCCTCCCAGCACACGCGGAACTCGTGCGGGCGCCCCTGCAGACGGAGCTGCAATGGTCAATGGCCATGCTCCGGCCTCGAAGAAGTCCAAACTGGCCGACTGAGCGTGGCCCATATGGAATCCAAAATGCACACCATGTGCACGACACTTTTATATGCAGCGACTCCTGTCTGCATAGTGGTGTCCATAAGAAGTGGCAGCACAATCCAATAAGCCAGCGGAGGCGTCGTCGGATGCGGTCAAATGCCCCATGCGAGGCTTATTGCGCATCAGCAAATGAATGCGTCGGCGCCTGTGTGGCGGCCTGTACATGGCTGGCGGCGCCTGGCGCATAGAAAAGCGCGACCTCTGAGCGCAATTATCAAATCTGATAGCAATTTCGACATAAATCTGTAAAAAGAAATATTTATAATTAGTTATATGTTAAGAAATTATTTTTGCAAAAATGCGACTTACCTCTGTTAAAAATTTTCGATTTCCACGTTGCGACGGGAAAAAAAAAAAAATGTATATGCAGAGCACATGTAGTCAAATCTACTGTATATTGCGTAGCGTTGCCACCTATGCAGTGTTTTGCCACACTGACAGTTTTTAAGTTGTTAAAGCAATTAGTATTATTAGGGAATTAGTACTTTTAGTCTTTTAGTATTTTAGTATAAGTATTTATTGTATTTAGTACGTAAGTTCAATACAGACACATTCTATGTGTCTAACAACATGTTTATAGAGTTTAGATACAATGTTGCCAAATAATGTTCTTATATGTTGCTAAGTGAAGTAAGGAAAAGAATAAAACAAGTCACGGAGGAATTTCATTCCACTGCTGACATATATTGTGCTCGGATGCACTCAACTTAAAAAGCTCGGATGCACTCAACTTAAAAAAACTTAAAAAACTTAAATAAATAAAAAAAAACCGAAAGGCTTGATTGCGCTCGGACGCACTCATCTATTTAAAACAAAAAAAAATAAATAAAATAAAATAAAATAAATAAATAAAAAGTCAATTAAACCAAAACCAAACCAAAAAGAAATTAAAATCAAATAAAGACATTGCGCTCGTACAGTGCAAGTGCAATTTATGTGGCACACACACATACTCGGCATATAAAATATATATTGTGCGCATATAAAATGGAAATGCGCTATCGAATCAACTAGTAAATATGGAACACAATGCAAATAAAAGTGGAAAGCCCTCTGAGGAGTGGCTAAATAGAGATCCTGGGATTGTGCAGGTGCAATCTGAGGATATAAATCGTGTGCATAATGAGGCCAAACGTCTTGGTTATGTGCCGGCAAATATGGCAGCCGCTGGCGTCACTAATACAAGTGCAGGTGAAAATGTGAAGCGCACAACAGAGAGAAGTGAAATACAGGGTGATATTTCTGATGAGACTATCTTAACTTGCGAAAGTGCTACCTCAGCATTCTCTGAGACGGCGCTTTCTCATATGTTCTGTGATAGCGATGAGGACACTAACTGGACAAATGCTATAGTTGGAATTGAGAGAAGAGCGGTGGGAGCAGCAACAACAACTACAGGATCTACTTGCCAGCAAGTGCAACAACAGCAACAGACGCCAATTCTCGCGGCAGAAGTGCCGCTAAATGATCCGCCATTTCTGCCTGAGTCAACAGGGGCAGCAACTACAACAAGTACAAGAACAACCACTAGCGCAAATGTCATAGCTAACCTAGAAGGCAATGTTCCGCCATCTTTGCAAATGTCAACGCCTACGCTGACAATAGCAACCAATACCAACACAGGTGACGCGCAAAAATTGGCGCCAACGCTAAGTGAATGTGCAACAGGAACAACAAGTGGTCGCTTGCGTGATGCTGCTAAGGTGACAATGGCGGCAAAATAAATGGCGCTAAGCGTAGAGTGACTATGCCAATGAAGCAGCAGCGTAAAGTAATGGCCCTAATAATTTGCAAAATGCAATGCAATCTAACTTGCAGCCTATTGTTAGATTATACAATATTGCAAGACCAAAAAATAATTTAGCCAAAAATGCCATGCCCGGTGGGGAGGAAGGCAACATGAACATGGACATTGATGCCAACACCAGTAGTGATGGATATTCGGAGGTAATTATTTCGGATGATGAAGCAACAGAGCAGCAAATAGGCGGCAAGCAGGTAGCTAGTGAAGTTCAGGAAGCGCAACCGCAGTTAGGTCAAAGTATTAAAATTCCAACACTTTTTGTGCCCAATGTAAAAGAAATTCAGCCACTAATGGAGAAATTAAATAACGCACAGGGCGTCAATAAATTTACAACAAAATGTACCCAGGGTGATGGGATTAGAGTACAATGTAAAGATTTCAGCACATATAACGCCATATTGGGCTTATTAAATACAGAAAATATACCTATGCACACACACCAGCCGAGAAGTGAGCGTGGCTACAGGGTTATATTAAAACATTTGCACAGTTCGACTCCATGCGACTGGTTGCGTACCCAATTGGGAGAATTGGGTTATGTTGTCAGATACGTTAACGTCATGAAGCATCGATTTAGTGGCAAGCCATTGAACATATTTGAAATAGAGATTGAGCCAAGAGTGGATGGTAGTCATACAAAAATATGTAAATTAAACGAATTAGGTAATCAGCATGTCGCTGTGGAAAGACAACATAAAAGTGCTGACCCAGTACAGTGTCATAGGTGTCAGGCATTTGGTCACAGCAAAAACTATTGCCGTCGGCCATTTGTCTGCCTTAAATGTGCCGGTGAGCACCCAACAACAATGTGTGCCAAGGATAGGGACACAATTGCTAAATGCGCCAACTGTGGAGAGGGGCACATTGCCAGTTACAAAGGATGCGCTGTATTCAAACATGCGCAAAGTTTAATAAACATAAATCGTATTCGTGGCCGGCAACAAAAAAAGCAGCAACAGCAGCAGCAACGAAATACAGTCAATATGCTCGTACAGCAGCAGCAGCAACAGCAACAACAACAACGGCAACAAGTAGTAAATCAGCAACAACAGCAATGCAACGATGATAACACACAGCGACAACGAAACGTACAACAGCAACGGCTGCCGAACAATATGCAAGTCAACGGTACGGTGCAACAAAAGCCTCCAAAGCAGCAGCAACGTCAGCCGGAGTCTCCAATACGGCAGCAGGCGTCTCAGCAGAGATCAAACCCGAATACAAATCCAAACACAAAAAGTATGACATACAGCCAAGTAGCCCGTGGTGTTGGTGGTGTTAAAATCCGTAATCCTGCATCAAGGCATCTTGAAAAGCTACAGGAGCAGCTTCGTATGGAGCAGCAGCAAAAACGGCAGCAACAACAACATCCGTGGCAGCAACAGGAACACTATCGCCAAATCCAGCAGCGCCATCAAGAGCAGCGCCATCCTCAGCAGCAGCAGCGCAACCAAAACCAGCAGCAGCGTATCCAAAACCAACAGCAGCGCTTCCCAAGTCAACAAACCCAACAACAACAACAACAGCCCACGCGAATTGTACAGGTGCCAACACACAACGAGCAATCACAACACAGCAGCAACACCAAACTCCGCAGATTGATTGTCCGCTTATGAGAGCGTTGGAGCGGAACGCCAATATCGTCGAGGAGATGGGTAAAAAGATTGATAATTTACTAAATGTATTATTTAAATTTGTCGCCAATACGTTTAAAAATGCCCAACCATTACATATGCCCATGCCTATACAGAATAGTACCATTGTAGAAAATAGACCTATTGATAGCGATTGTCAAATGGCAGGCAGCCACACTATGTATGAAGCCAATGACACGAATAATAATGAATAATCTGAATAGTAGCCCTAATAATTTGAATACAACTTCTACCACTAATAGCAACTTAGATGCATATAGCGGCAATCAGGTAGGCAGCCCTTTAGGATTGCCTACTGGAATGCTGCAGGGGTGGGGAATAAGTTACTAGAATTAGAACTGTTTATCCAACGCCACAAATTGATATAATGATGATAATAGAGACTCGTATTAATACTAGCGCAAATACAATTATTAGCTCGAATGTTTTGAAGATTAATGGGTACCTACTTTGCTACCCATCCAGATAACTACAAAAGTGGAGGTGTTGTAGCAATCTTAGTTAAAAATGATATTAAGCATATCGCTTTGCAGCCAATATCGGAAAATTTTATGCAGTGTGCTCCAATTGCCTTGATGAGTAGCGAGAGGAATAAAAATAGAATAATAATTGCAGCTATATACTGCCCACCACAGCCTAAATGGTCTTCAGAGCAATTTAGCAGGCTATTCAAACACATAGACGATGGATGCAATGGCTCATCTGGCTTTATGCTATGTGGGGATTGGAACGCTAAACATACCTGGTGGGGGCAATATACGAGGATGCAAACGCGGGAAGGCGCTAATGGATAGCGTACACAAGAATAGGCGCTATAATATCCTAGCTACCGGCGGTGCCACTCACTATCCATATGACAGGCGGAAAATGCCGTCGGCAATTGACTTTGCCGTATATGGCGGACTACAAAATGCGCGACTAAGAACGTATACGACGACAGACTTAGATTCGGACCACTTGCCTGTTCATATTGAAATGGGCATAGAAGGGCTAAATGTTGCTAATATGATGAAAGGAAATCGTAAAATATTGCTGCCAGTGAATGCGAACATAAAAAAGTTCCAAGAGTACTTAAATCGACGCATATTGCTAAACATTGAGATAAGATCAGGCGCCGATATAGAGGACGCTGTTGACATCTTAAATAAGAATATATATGAGGCAGCAGCAGACTCAATACGAGAACAACGGCATGGGCAGGATAAACTGTACCGACGAACGAATAGCGGACAATATAGGCTTAATGGGCACTTACGAGGGCTGATAAAGATGAAGCAGGTATATAAAAGGCAATTAATGCTTTTGCGTTGTCCGAATGCAAGAAAATGTAGTATAGACAAGTACAAATCGGCTAAAGAAAGAGCTATGTCTGTCAAAAGTGAATACTATGAATGAGTTATTGAAGCAGATTGATGTTCAGGATCGCTATAAAATGCAAAAAATTATGGAGGCTAACAAATAATTTGAAAAGGCAGCCGCAACCAAATTGGCCGCTAAAGTTAGAGATAGCTAGTGGCAGTAGTTGTAGGAGAAACGGCAATATAAACGTGGACACGAAGTAATGAGGAGAAGGCTGAAGCGTTTGCATGTCATTTGGAGAAAACGCTTCACACCAAATCTGACAAATACACAGGTTGTGCGTAACCTGATTGCAGATGAGCTATTAGAGCTAAGCGAAAAAAGCTGGAGCAATTCGAAGAGAATACAGATAGTATGTCCGTTCTGCCATTTCGTCCGATAAGTGTTAGCGAGACTATGCTAGAGATAGATATGCTAGAGTTAAATAAGTCTCCTGGCATGGACAATATTGACAATAGGGTTATTAAATCGTTGCCTGAGAAGGCGGTTATACTTAGTACTTATATTCAATTGTATATTGAGGTATGGGTTTTTTCCTAGGCAATGGAAATGTGCAGAGATCAGTATGATATTAAAGCCTGGTAAAAGTACAGGAGAGATATCGTCATAGACCAATTAGTCTACTAGCAGGTTTCTCAAAATTGTTTGAGAAACTGCTGCTGAATAGGCTATTCGAATGCAAAGAGTTTGCAAATGCTATACCAAGCCACCAATTTGGGTTCAGAAAAGACCATGGTACCGAGCAGCAGCTGGCCCGTGTGACTCAATATATTGAATGCTTACGAGAAGCGACAATATTGCTCGGCTGTATTTATTGATATCAGCGAAGCGTTTGACCGTGTATGGCACGCTGGGCTATTAGTAAAATTAATAAAATTGCTACCACTTGCACTGTACAACGTGCTGGAAGCTACTTGGCTGAGCGAATATTTATTGTAAAATGCAACGACGGCATAAAGTCAAGGCCTGGAAAAGTGTGTGCAGGCGTACCCCAGGGCAGTGTGCTCGGGCCTATACTATATACAATATTTTCTTCAGACATGCCACTACCTAGACTTGTAATGAAAGAATATGCATCGTTCGAACCCAATAAGATGCAGCTGTCAACATATGCTGATGACACAATAGTTATGTGTGCATCCCAAATATATTGGAGGCAGTGAATCTAAATGAAAAATACTTAATACATTTGATGCGTTGGGCAGAGAAATGGTGCATAAAGATAAATAGTAGCAAAACAGCGCATGTAATGTTTAGCACGCGGAGGCTGGATGCAAACACTAGTAAGGCTGTGTCCAATGATAAATGGACAAACGATCGAAAATAACGGGCGGCACCGATACTTGGGCTTAGTATTGGATAGAAAACTGACACTGAATATACACATAACTCAGCTTTGCATAAGGCTGCGTGGAGTACACAAAAAGCTGGACTGGTTGCTGGGAAAAAATAGTAGGCTAGCTAGAAATTGCAAGGCTGTGGTATAAGCAGCTGATCGCACCTATATGGCAATATGCGCTTCCTGTATGGGGAGCACTGGTATCAAATTCGCAAATAAAAAGGATAGAAACAATGCAGAATAAAAATCTTGCGGGCATGCATGAATGCCAGTTGGTATACAAGGAATCAGACGTTGAGGGATACGTATGGGATAAAAAGCGTAGATGAAGTATATCAGTTGGCTAGCGATAGATTTGCGAAGTCACTAAGCTGTCATCCGAACATTGAAGCTCGGAAACTGATACTAGAGCCATTTACCAGTGCGGCTACTAAGGCCCAGGTACACGGAGCAATTGGATAGATGCATGGCGCCACTACGGCAGCAGCAGTTAACACAGCAGAGAGAGGTAGCTGAGGAGAGGTTGCCAACGCTGCTGCAGCTAGAAGAAGATGAGCAAGAGGCTGAAAGGAGGGCCGCT